TCAGCTCTTCCCTACAGTCCAAGCCAGCCAGCCCAGCTATGATTTTTCCCCTGAAACCTGGCAGGATTGGTTGGCCAGCTGGCTGTTCCCCACGGGCCGGGTCGGGTGTGGCTGTCCAGAGCCCATCCCAGCATATGGCAGGGTGAGGAGCCAGGCAGGAGGGAGAGATCTGACTGCTGGGATGGCCCCGGGAGCCAGAATGTGCCTGGCTCGGGCAGCTCCTGGGGCACAGGGAGCGAGCAGGGAGAGACCAGGAGCCCCCAGGGCGTGCAGTGCCCTGGCAGGGGTGAGAAGGGCCAGCCCAGCCCTGGGTCACTGCAGCACTCCCAGATTTAACTGAGCTGTCCCTGGCAGGGGTGAGAAGGGCCAGCCCAGCCCTGGGTCACTGCAGCACTCCCAAATTTCACTGAGCTGTCCCTGGCAGGGGTGAGAAGGGCCAGCCCAGCCCTGGGTCACTGCAGCACTCCCAGATTTAACTGATGCTGTCCCATTTGACTGTGGCAGCACCGTGGAGATGCCAGGGGTACCCATGGCTGTTGGAAGGACCAAACTGAACTCACACAATGTTTTACCCTCGGCGCGTGTCAAGGATTCAGGAGGCCTGCACGTGTACAAGGCAAGTGGCAGATGCTGCAGGCTCCTGTGCCTCTTGCAAGACACCAAACGCTGTGATCTTCTGGCAGATGAACAGGAAGAGTTTCTAGGCTCTGTTTGGCTGCTGCTAAGGACATCTTTTTGATCCATTTTCCAGCCTCCGGGGCTGCTCCTGTCCCAGGAGACTGATGAAGGAGTTCAGGAGCACAGAATAAAGAAAAGACCGGAATATTCATGTGCTCCAAACTCCTGGGAAGTTGCAAGCGAAGAGAAAAATCTGAAATATTTTCTCAGTAGGATTTCCTTACTAAGCAGCATTTTTCTCTTGCGTGTAGACAACTGGTTCAAAGCAGCACCGACACCTCACGCCAGGCCCTGTGCTCCTTCCGCTCTGCCGTGGTGTAAACCATGAGCAGATGGTGCAGTGCACTGGAAAATCAGATCTCCGAGAAAACACAGAGCCAAGAATAAAACTCCCTGAAGCAGAAAGCTACATGGTTTATTTCGGGATAAAAAGCAAAACTGAGATCCTTGGGCAAAAATTAGAATACTCCTTCAGAGTGGAGTATTGCACTTGTATGAACTGCCTCGTTCGTTCCTGATTGAGGAAACATCCATCCCTTCACAGCTGAAGGCTCATCTCATTTGTTGCCTTTCAGTTCATTGATCTGCTTTCTCCAGGCTCCCACGTGACTGTTCTTTGCTGAACTAACAAGCGTGGTTATCGCTGAATTTTCTTTCCTTTTCACTTTCTTGCACACCGACGACAAACCTTTCAGAATTTCCTCCCACTTCAGCTGCAGCATGACCTGAATTGCATCCATCCTTGTTTAAACCCACTGGGGCAGAAACACCCAGCCACGATAGGTAAGGATGTAATGCCAGAACTTTGGCTGGTTTTATATTTGTGCATAAAGAAATAAAATAGCCCTGAAAATATTCCTGTTTCTTCCATTAAGTCTAATTTAGTGCACACAGTCTCTGCCCTTGTGGCCTTTATATATAAAGTTCTGACATGCCCCAGCCTCACTATGCCCCATCCTCACAATAAAAACTTCTAACGCTGCTCCAGCCCAATTGCAGCTGCTGGCATTGCCCTGCCCGCTCTGGAGTGCCAGGATGAGGAGCAGGGCAGCTCCTTGTGCAGCACTGCCTCGTGCTGCGCATCCACTGCATTTCCTCTCGCCTCGCTGCGTTTTCGTGACCTAGATCCCGCTCATACGAGCTCAAAAAATAATTTAGCAAATCTTGGTATCTAAGATTAAACTGGGATGATGTTTATTTATTTGGAGGAAAACAACAGGAGTGAAATACTGGCATTTCTCTCTGCAGAGCTGCAGCAGCTGCTCTGACCTGATCCCTTAGTTCTCCTTGCTTTAACCTGCAGCTGCACCCGTGCATGTGCCTGTGCTGACTGCCCGTGGGCCTGGGATTCCATCTGAAATCTGGGGAGGTCTCCCTGATCCTTGTGAAGGATGTGCCTGACAAGGAACCCAATCCATCCCACAGGGGGGCACTGAAATGAGCCTGAGATGGATGTCAGACATCACCCTCCTCCTCCTCCTCATCATTATCTATGGCAACTCCAGCAGCAGACTGGCTGGAAGAGCCCACAGCTTTGTCATGACTACAGCAGTGCAGGGGATCCTGCTGCTCCTGCTCACTTGCCATGCAGCTCTCTTCTCCAGAGGCCAAGGGAACATGCAGGGTGCTCGGAGTCAGTCTGTGCTGTGAATACACAGCCACCCTCTCTGCTGGATCAATGGCCCTTTCACTGTCCCGGGCCCTACTGTACACAGAACAAACACAGTTTCCATGGCAGTGCAAGCACAAATACATCCCACACTCCAAGGAGTGACTCACACGTGCTGCAGGGAACAGAGAAACTTCCCTGTCTTAATGGGAAAACATCTGGGACAGGAGGATGAGATTATCTCACTTTCAAAATATTCTGCAAATATTATGTAAACCAGATTTGCTCTGAATAATTCCATGTCTTGGCAGATCCGAAAGACAAATCCTTTGAAGGCAAAGGAATAAGGCAAGGCTGGTGCCTGTTTGCAGTAGCAATGGCCAAGTCAATAATGAATATATTCTTAAAATAGATACAACCCAACAGTTCTGGAAGCCAACACAAACCATCCATGAGCACTTTACCTCAGTATCTCAAAGAGTCACAACAAGAATTTAAGTGCTGGAAATAAAGAGCAGATTTATATGAAAAGGAGGAGATGCATAAATTTGTGGGAAGTATTTAGTGCAAGTCCTAAGTCCTGGTATTGGCTGAAATAGGCTGAAACAGGCTGAAACAGGCTGAAATAGGCTGAAATAGTCTGAAATAGGCTGAAATAGTGAGCACCCGACCTGGAGCATCAGCAGCACCACTCAGAAGTGTCTTAGAACATCACTTGCCTAAAGCTGATACACTGATATACAGACTCAGGGGAAAATGGGTCCTGCATGGAATGAAAATCAAATATGTGATGTGCACTTTCTGGCAGGGACAAAAATGTGGTGAGCACTTTCTTGGAGGGATAAAACATGCTCTCAGTGTCTATGGGAGAAAGAATTTTCCCTAGCAGGGCTTTTCTGCATCCTAAAACTTTAAGGATTTTTATGACCCCAAGCTAGGGAGTTTACATCCCTTCAAAATAACCTGTTATTTTAGTAATCCTCCAGCTCTGAAGGATGTCTCATCTGCTTCTTTTACCAACCTAAATCCTTTCCCAGGACCTATTCCGCCTGCAGAGTATTCAGATTCAATGTCAAGATTTCCAAAGGCTGCTCTGAGCAGGAATAGCTCCTCGGGCTCTCAGAAGCAGAGCCATGGCATGGCAGAGCTGCAGATCCCCCTGGGCAGGGCTGGCAAGCGAAGGTCAGCAACGGGAACTGGAACTCAGAGTCACTGAGGTGGAGCAAGGCTGGAGGGAGAAGATTCCTGTTTGCACTGTGATCCAGCACAGCCCAGCCCTCACACAGGGCTCTCAGCAGAGCCAGGAGCAGGTGGGATTTACCGTGGGGATGAGGGTTACAAACCCTTCACGGGAGCTGCAGGAGCTGAAGTGTGACACAGCCAGGCCAGAGCAGCGGGACAGGGACAGCAAACCTGCCAGGGGTGTCAAACAGGGAGTTTGGAGTCTGTCTGCGCTGAACGGCTGGAGGAAATGAAATACAAACAGCAGCACCTTTGTGACTGGCGGTGCAGTGTCTGAATGTCCCATAAACGCACAGAGAATAACGTCTGTCTCCAGATCACCTGGGCTGTATTGCAGCCTGCGTGAAACCTTGGGAGGAAGGGAATAAGTGAGAGACACAGAGAGGGAGCAGCTCCTGCAGTGGCTCTCGGGGGCTGTTCTGTCGCCTCCTCGCTGCCCTTCCCCCTGGGAACAGTCCCTCCTCACTGCTCTTTCTTGTCTGTTCAAATCACATCAATTTAAAGGGGTTATGAAAGGCTCTGTTTAATCAAATGTTTGTTATGTCCAGGTGTCTTTGTCTGTCTCCTTTCCCAGATTTATCCAGAGACAGTTATCTCATGTTGGAGACTCTTTCCCCTTGAGGACCAAGGAGAATATCCACTTAAAAATTAAAAAATAATCGGAGCGGTGGCATGCCTGTAGATCCTGTTACCTGCGTGGCCACCTGGTGTGCTCCCCCTTGGTGGAGTTCCAAACTGGAACTGCTCTTTGTCCTGCAGGGGGAAGAGCTTGGTACTCAGGAAAATATCATCACAATAAACATAACTGAATGGAATCTGACAGACTGCTCTGCCCCATCAGGAATATAGACATGAGGGATTTCAAAGGCGTGAGCGAGCCCGTGACACACCAGAGCCATTCAAATTCATTTTGGCTGCCCGGCACTGTACGAATAATGGCACAGTGTATGTCTGGTACTGTGGAGCTTTTCCAAATCGCCTTGCAATGAATGCAGGCTGCACGTCCAGAGCTGCCATAAAAGCTGATATTCATAAAGCCACCCACGACTGCAAATAAGTGGCCTACAGAGGGTAGTAATTAACGCACATACAGATTAACGCATGTGCCCTTTGCTGAGTGAATACCGTGCTGTTAATTTTTTTGTAGGAATTTTGTAGGCTCATAAATCGCGTGTTGTGCGAGCTGTGTGCTCTCCTCAGGGATGGGCACGGCCCCAGGAGCTCGGGGCGCGTTCGGACAGCGCTCCCGGGCACAGGGCAGGGTTTGGGGTGTCAGTGCGGGGCCGGGAGCTGCACTCAGCAGCGATGTCGGGCTGTTCGCGGCGGTGCCGAGCCCGCCGGGCCGGGCCGGTCCGAGCCGTGCCCGCTCCGTGCCCGCTCCGTGCCCGCCCTGAGGCGGCGCCGCCGCCATCTTCCCCGCGCGGCGCCCCCTGGCGGCGCTCGCCCGGCACCTCTCGCGAGAGTTCCCGCCCGGCCCGCCAAGATGGCGGCGGCCATGGCGGCCCCGGGCCGGGTGCGCACCCGGGACGTGCTGCTGCCCGGCGGCCCCGCCGACTTCGGCTCGCTCCTGCTCTCGCCGCCGGTGCTGGCGGGGCTGGAGGCCGCCGGCTTCCACCGGCCGTCTCCGGTGCAGCTGAAGGCCATCCCGCTGGGGCGCTGCGGGCTGGGTGAGCGGGCGGGCCGGGCGCGGGGCCGGGGCTGTCCCGGGGCTCTCCCGGGGCTGTCCCGGGGAGGAGAGGGACCCCGCGCCGCTCTTTGCAGATCTCATCGTGCAGGCCAAGTCTGGCACCGGCAAGACCTGCGTGTTCGCCACCATCGCCCTGGACGCGGTGCTGCTGGACAGCCCCGCCACGCAGGTGAGGGGAGAGAGGGAGGAGGAGAGGGAGAGGAGACGGAGAGGGAGGAGGAGAGGGAGAGGAGGGGATCCTCCCCTCCCCTCTCCCGCTGATTTTGGGGGATCCGGCCCTGGGGCTGCGCGGTTCACATCGCCGGGCTCTCAGCGCCATCCCGCGGCTCCCATCCTCCCGTTGATCCCTTCCCCGCACAGATCCTGATCCTGGCTCCCACCAGGGAGATCGCCGTGCAGATCCACGCCGTGATCACCACCATCGGCACGCAAATGGAAGGCTTGCAGTGCCACGTGTTCATCGGGGGGACGCCGCTGAGCCAGGACAGGAGCAGGCTGAGGAAGTGCCACATCGCCGTGGGCTCCCCAGGTGGGGACAGCCCGGCTGTGCCTTGTGCCTGCTGGGCTCAGTAACCCTGGGCTGGCTGTGCGTGCTGCCTCAGGAGTTCAGGAATGCTTTCAGAGCTCGCTGTTAGGTGTGTGCGGTCCCGCCCTCAGCGCTGCTCTCCCCTTGCTGCCCTGCAGGGCGGATCAAGCAGCTGATCGAGCTGCAGTACCTGAGCACGGCCAGCGTCAGGCTCCTGGTGCTGGACGAGGCTGACAAGCTGCTGGAGGAGGGCAGCTTCCAGGAGCAGGTCAAGTAAGGCAGAGCCCTCCTGCGCTGCCCCGGGGATTGCATCAGTGCTTTTGTGTGAGTAACTGCCCTGCTTGTGTCCCTCAGCTGGATCTACTCCTCCCTGCCTGTCAACAAGCAGATGCTGGCAGTGTCAGCCACCTACCCCGAGTCCCTGGCTGCTGCTCTCACCAGGTACATGAGGGAGCCCACCTTCGTGAGGCTGAACCCCACGGACCCCGGCCTCCTCGGTGAGCACACAGTCCTGCCTGCAGGATGCATGCTTTTTCATGATCATGCCTGTAGAATGCATGGTTTTTCATGATCATGGGCCTGTAGAATGCCTGGTCTTTCACAATCATGCCTGTAGGATGGATGCTTTTTCACAATCATGCCTGTAGAATGCATGCTTTTTCATGATCATAGCTGTAGAATGCATGGTTTTTCATGATCATGCCTGCAGGATGCAAGGTTTCTCATCATTTCACCCCTGAGTTATCAGTTTGTGAATATCACTTCCCAGTGTTGATGTAGTGAATCCTGAAGTGGAATGGGAAGGTCCTTAAAGGCCTTTCCAGCCCAAACCAGTCTGTGATTCTGTATTTTTAAAATTCCAGTGACACGTGGAGCTCTCTGCTTCTTCTATCCATTTGAAAAATTTCAGCCTTTTAAGAAAAGCTCCTCCTGGAGGCTCTCCTGTGTGCCTGTGTGCAGTTTCCCTTCAGTTTACAGAGCTCTGTGCACGTTTTTGTGGCAACCCCCAATCTCTTGTTTTGCTTTCCTGCTCAGGGCTGAAGCAGTACTACAAAATTGTGAATTCCCATCCCCTCCCACATAAAACCTTTGAGGAGAAAACCCAGCACATGCAGGAGCTGTTCAGCAAGATTCCTTTCAACCAGGCCTTGGTGTTCTCCAATCTGCACAGCAGGTAACCCACGTGGGGTAGAACACCTGGGCAAAGCAGGTTTGGGAGCAGAGCTTGTGATCTCCAGCCAGGGCTGCATCCGTGGGGCCTCTGAGGTCTCAGCACTCTGCAAACTTCAGCCTGGGGAATGCCCTGTGAAACACTGAAAATGCCACAGTGCAGTCCTTGGCTGTGGAGAACAACCTGAGAGCTGGCTGGTGTTGCCAGGCCTGGGGTTTGTTTCCTGTCCTCAGTGTGTGTGTTCCCTCAGGGCTCAACGTCTGGCTGAAATCCTGACATCCAGAGGCTTCCCTGCTGAGTGCATTGCAGGTAAATTCATTCACAATTTTGAAATCCTGACATCCAGAGGCTTCCCTGCTGAGTGCATTGCAGGTAAATTCATTCACAATTTTGAAATCCTGACATCCAGAGGCTTCCCTGCTGAGTGCATTGCAGGTAAATTCATTCACAATTTTGAAATCCTGACATCCAGAGGCTTCCCTGCTCAGTGCATTGCAGGTAAAGCCATTCACAATGTTCTGATTCCACTGAAACTGTGCATAAATGTCACCTAAAATAGGAAAATACATCTTAAATCGTGCCTTGCAGGGGCTCTGGTTCAATGGCTGAGAATAGCATTTGACTTTTCATAGGTTTCTAAGACTCAGTCTACAAGGAAAAGAATTATTTTTGTAATGAGTGACCTGAGTTTTCCAGTTTTGTTTGTTCCTTCTTTATTCATTTGGGGTGATGTTTGAGGAGGTTTCTGACTTATTTCTGATGATAAATTTCTGATGATACAAAGCAGTGTTTTCTAGAATGTGAGGGGCATAAAGATGAAGAATGTAACCTGCTTCTAACTTTTGTCTTCCTAGGCAACATGAATCAGAGCCAGCGCCTTGATGCCATGGCTAAATTAAAGCAATTCCACTGCAGAGTTCTGATTTCCACAGACTTGGTGAGCTGTTACTGCTTTCAAACAAGCTTTTTACAGATCCTATTTCAAATTTATTAACTGCTCTGCAAATTTTACAGCATGCAGGAGTACTGCACGTAAAGTCACTTCAGAGGGTCAGATTTTCTTGGAATTGGAGAGAACTCAAACGTGCTGACAGAGCACCAGGAACTGTGATTCATTTTCAGAGTGGGGGTAGAGATCACCCCCATTCCCCTGGGGGGTAGAGATCACCCCCATTCCTCACCTGCCTGCCCATGGCAGGGGCTGCAGTGAGGTGATGCTTCCAGGGCCCATCCAACCCCACCCATTCTGTGGTCTGGCTCAGAAATTGCCAATTTATCTGTTGCTGTGCAGCTAAAAGCTGTGGGCAGCGTGCTGTGAGTGCCAGACGTGCTGGGGTGACCCTGACATGTTGGGTGACCCCACTGTGCTCCCCCCAGCCTCTCACACCTGGGTTCTGTGTTTATTTCAAGCTCTGTGCAGTTGCTCAGCCCTCACTGCCCTTTCCTCCTCCTCCTCCCTGCAGACATCTCGTGGAATTGATGCTGAGAAGGTGAACCTGGTCATCAACCTGGACGTGCCCCTGGACTGGGAGACCTACATGCACCGCATCGGCCGCGCGGGGCGCTTCGGTGGGACCTGCTGGGCTGGGCTGGGCTGGGCTGGGCGCTCTGGGCTCTGCTGGGGTCAGCTCTGAGCTCTGCTGGGCCTGGCCCTGCTGGGCCTGACCCTGCTAGCCTGAGCTCTGCTGGGCCTGCATTAACTGTGCTCTGTCCCACAGGCACCCTGGGGCTGGCTGTGACCTACTGCTGCCGTGGGGAGGAGGAGAACACCATGATGAAAATTGCTCACAAGTGCAACCTGCAGCTCCTTCCTCTGCCAGGTGGGCTCTGGGCTGGGGCTGCTCTGGGCTCGGGGCTTTGCTGTCAGTCAGAGCTGCAGACAGGCCCAGGGCTGTGTCCCTCTCTGCTGGGGCTGTGCCTCTGCTGCCCACGTTCCTCACACCCAGCTCTGACAAGTGGAGTGGTGTTTGTCTTGAGCAGCCTTTGGTGCCCCTGTGAAGGAAATGTGGCTCTTTAAACTCCTCTGGGAGTTGAAGGGGTTGATTTGTGCCCTCCCTTGATGTCTGACAGGCAGTTTTGGGGAGCTTCTCGTGGGCTCTGGTGTGGGCCCCAGAGGGAGGGGTACCTTTGGTTGAGAGGCTGCTTGTTTCCCTTCTGTGCAGAGCCAAACCTTTGACTCAGTGCTGCTTGTTTCCCTTCTGTGCAGAGCCAAACCTTTGACTCAGTGCTGCTTGTTTCCCTTTTGTGCAGAGCCAATCCCCCCTGGAGTGATGGAGCAGTTTGAGGAAGGGCAGGTGGAAGTTAAACCTGCAATACCCACGGCTCCTGTGGTGAACTCTGACACTGTGAGTCCTGAACCAGAGCAGCCAGTGCTGCAGCCTGTCCAGAATGGCTTTCCAGACATTCCTCAGCCTCCCTCTAATCTTCCAAGGGATAATTCTTCTGTAGAAAGGCCAAAAAAGACTCCGAAGCAAAAACAGATTAAAAAGTGCACAAATCCTTCAAATGTACAGAAAAATAGAACCCCCCAAACTTCCAGCTCTCTCATAGAACAGAGGAACCAAGCCAAACCCATCTCCAGGATGGATGGACACAGCACTCAGGCTCCAGACAAGGAGGCCTTAAAAAAGAACCTTCCCAAAATTCCATGCTTGTCTTCTTTCAAAACCCAACTCACCAGTCCCTGGAGCTTCTCAGATTTTGTTGAAGATTATGAATATTTCATTAAAGAGGGGTCAGAGAGAGAGGTGGAGATTTTAAGGAGTTACTCAGGCCCAGGAGAGCAGCGTGAGCTGCCCAGAAATGGGGATGTGGAGTGGGAGGAGATGGAACATCACCCAGAGGCAGCAGCAGGCGGGGCTGACAGCGACGGCTCGGAGAGCTCCAGGGGTTCCTTCCACAGCAGGGCCAGTCACTCGTGCTCTGAGGCCTTTTCAGACACACAGGAGCCAAGCCCTGTGCCCCCAGCAGGGTTCTGTGCCACACCTGAGGCTCCTCGGGAGCCACCCCACAGCCCGAGGCAAAAGGAAGCGAGGAAGAAAGTCCCGAAACAAAATGCTAAGCACAAGAAAAGCCACAAGCAGCAGTGCTGCAGTCCTGCCAGGAGCAGAGCTGAGGAGGAGGGCAGCTGCAGCTCCTGGGGTGGGGCTGCCCACGAGGGCTGCAGCTCTGGGCACTGCTGGAGGTGTTACTGCCAGGCCTGGCAGAGCTACTACACAGCAGTGGCCGAGTTCAGCAGGAGTTACTGGCACCTCAGCTGCAGCACTGCCCACCACATGCACTCAGTCTATCTCCAGGAGCTGCTCAGGGATGAGGATTGATGTCCTGATGCTGGCTGGGAGCAGGGCTGGGCAGGCCTGGGACAGCAGGGCTGCTCCAAAGGACACTGACAAGAGATGGGTGTTGTTCAGATGGAGAAAAATGGTGTCTGTATAGGCAGCTGTGTCTGGGGAATGCTTTACACAGGTCCACTGAGGATGTTACAGTTTGTTAAATAAAAGGAAAAGAAAGACAGCTGGATGTTCAGTTGGAATCTTTACAATGCAAAATAAAAAAAGGGATGACAAAAGGCAGCCATTCCCACCTAAGAAATGTCAGCAAGGAGAAAATACAGAACAATCCCAGCTGCATTTCATGGGATCCCAGAGTGGTTTGGGTGGGAAGGGACCTTAAAGTTCACCTTGTTCATGGCAGGGACACCTCCCCTGCCCCAGGTGCTCCCAGCCCTGCCCAGCCTGGCACTGCCAGGGATCCAGGGGCAGCACAGCTGCTCTGGGCACCTGTGCCAGGGCTGCCACCCTCTTGCCTCCTTGCCTTCCCTGTGGGGCTCCATGTCTGTTCACAGGGGTGATCATCCCATTTTCCCTGATTCTCTTGGTAAACATATACCCAGTTATATCCCAGTGAAGTGGCAGAGTGAAATGAGCATCTCAATGCCTGTATTGCTAATTGAAATCCAGTTAATTAACACTGTATAAATAACATTTCTATACCGAGGTGTGCAGCAGGCTGTGTGGTGGAGGATTTAATTATGTAGAAAATGTGCAGCAATCATAATTGGTCTGTCCCTCTGGGTGCAACAGTATCAGACTAGACTTCCCACACTTAGAGGAATGTTTAATTAGAAATGGAATTACCTATTAGTGCTAAAACTAATTGATATTTCCTGTTGGCTTGTACAGAGCTGTCCTGGGGCAGGAAAAGATGGGAGTGCTGGCTGGCTCGGGTGCTGGCCCCTGCTCTAGTTTTGAAAGTTTTTCTTTCTGTGCTTTGTTCCTGCCTCACTCCCTCTGAGTCACAAATGACTCCAGGGAGGGGCTCCCCTTTCTCTGCCTGGTTGGAAAAGGCCAGGACAGCATGATTGTGTTTCCAGGATGGATTCACATTCACAGAGGGGACCCTGGAAGAGATGCCCTGCAGGATCTGCATCATTGCTGTGCTGTGGCATCTCCCTGATTCCATTAATGATTGCTTAGGGAAGAGTTAATTAGCATTGGAATGCAACTGCAGTGGCCTAGGTCAGCACCCAAAGTTCTCCAAAAGAGCCTCCCAGGAGGTTTGTAGAAGAAATTCCAGCATGCTGTTGGTATTTGTGGCACATACTCTGTTTAATCCGGGTTGGATACATCAGGTACAGCAGTGGCACAAGACTCAATACTGTAAATGATATACAAGTTTCAACAGATGCACTACAATTCCAAAAGAAGACAACAGGAAACTTGGTTCTTCTAGAAAGTTGTTCTCGAGTGAAGCTACCTGCAGTTGTGTCCAGTACATTTCGTATCTGTCCTCTGCCATTTGTAAAGCAAAGCCCATTTAAAGTAGGAAAATAGAAAAGAATCAGGTTGAGAGCTTCTTACGACATAGAACTCCTAAAGAAAACACCGTTGCATTGGAATGCCGTACTGGTTTATCAAAAATAGACCATCACACCCTTTTTGGAGACTTGGTTGGGCCGAGGAGCCCCTGGGAGCTGCCGTGGTGGCTGAGGTGGGAGCAGCGCTGGCCGGGGCTCGGGAGCAGCCCTGGTCCAGCCCAGGAGGGCAGGGACACACACACACAGGGACAGACCCGACTGGGACAGGAGGGGCGTGCACAGGCTCTCTGCCACCTGCTCTCTCGTTCTGAGGGTTTCTGGCCCAGTTCTGCCCCTGAGCACAGCAGCAGCTCCAGCTCCAGAATTCCCTGGGGCCTTCTGGGCTCTCGGGGGCTGAGCTGCACCCGCTGCACCAGGAGCTGCTCCTTGCTCTGCAGGATGGCCAGAGAGGTGAAAGGACTTCGAGGTCACTTGGTGATGGCTCAGGAAATGAGGAGCAGAGCCCAGGCTGCTGCAGCTCAGCTCCTGATGTTCCCTGCCTTCCCTTGGCTGTCACAGTCTGAGAGGAAATCACTTGGACAGTGTTTTTGGCAAATGCAAAGCCTAAAAGCTCGGGCTCTGAACCCATGGATCTACTGCAGTTGGCTCCGAGAGTTGGAGAAAAACAAGAGTTGTGAAACAAAATACTGAGATAGACTGGATGGTGGGTGCTGAGGAAAAGGTGTTTCTCCTGACTTTAAAAGCAGAATTGAGCTTGCAGTTCAAAGCTGTGGATGTTCACCAGCTCTCCACAAGTGCTGACTTCAACTCTGCCGTAGTCCAACAGACTGAAATATTACAAAGTGCAAGGGATGTGGCAACACATAAATGAAATGTGATTTTTAATTTCTTGGATTTTCTTTACAATACATGTAAGATGCAACATGTTTGCCACCTCTTTACTTAAAAAAAGCAAACTCTTGAAGGAAATTTGCTTTCTTTTGCTGGTATTCATCTGATTTTCATGCACACACCTTAAGCTGTCTAGACGGGAATGACAATGCTGGGTTACAAGTACAAGTGTATTAGCAACAGGTTTAGGTTAAACAAGTGGCATTGATTTAATCTGGTCTTTTTGGCCAATTAAAGGAAGATGTATTTTGAATTATCCATGAGCTGTATTCCACACTGAAGCCATGTGTGTTACTTAGGTTGTCTTTTTAAGGAAACTGAAAGGAAAAGGTGGCTTTTAGAAAGAGTCAGTGGAAGTCAAAGCCTGTGTGTGACAGTATTTTTCATCATTTGCTGCCAGCTGGGCGTGAATCCTGTTAGCAGCTCAATGCCAGGTGAGAAGAGAGGAAATCTATTGATAGCATAGGCTGAAAATCCATGAAAATACCTTTCCTTCAGAAAAAGCTTTGGAAAGGAAATAAAATGCTCAGAAAGAAGAGTTGCTCCTTTGATATTTTTATATTGCTTCAGGAAAATCTGAAAAAATAACGCCCTTCCACTTGCTTTTTGTACAAAGAACCCATTTTTGCTTCTTCTAAAGGAGCTTCTCTAGAACTATAAATAAAATCTCAAGGAATGAGAGGAGGGGGCAGTGCCAGGGGCTGGTTTGTGGGTCAGGGTGGGTGTGCCAGGAGGGCTGGGTGCTGGTGAGGCAGGGGGGCACTGGGGGCACTGGGGACGAGCCACGTGCTCCAGGTGGGGCTCTGCTCAGGAGTCCCAGGGCTGCCTTGGGCTGTCCTTGGGGCTGGTTTGGGGCTGGTTTTGGGCTGTTTTGGGGATGTTCTTGGGCTGTTCTTGGGGCTGTTTGAGGATTCCAGTCTGGGGAGGCCCCTCTGCCCCTGGGTCAGTATCCAGGGGCTGTGGGGCAGCTCCCTGCTCTGCTGCCCCATTTCCAAACTAGGGGTGCTCTTCTGCTCCTGCAGGGATGGATCCCTGTCCTTCCAGGGATGGATCCCTGTCCCTGCAGGTTTGAATCCCTGTCCAGGGGTGGATTCCTGTCCCTGCAGGATGGATCCCCGTCCAGGGGTGGATCCCTGTCCTTTCCAGGTTTGGATCCCTGTCCCTGCAGGTTTGAATCCCTGTCCAGGGATGGATCCCTGTCCCTGCAGGATGGATCCCCATCCAGGGGTGGATCCCTGTCCAGGGGTGGATTCCTGTCCCTGCAGGTTTGAATCCCCGTCCAGGGGTGGATTCCTGTCCTTTCCAGGTTTGGATCCCTGTCCCTCCAGGGGTAGAGCCCCATCCCTGCAGCCCCCAGAGGCGCGCAGTGCTCCCCTGGTTCTCACAGAGCAGCTCCAGGTGCTTTGGACGCTTTACTTGGGCGACTCCAGAGGATAAAGAGAGCTAATGCCTCCATTAAAACACTTTTAGCCCTGTTCCTCTAGGCTCAGGCTTCCTTAAATCGTGTTTTTACCCCCCGAGAGCCTGTGCTGACAGCGTGGGCAGCACCTGCCCCGCTCGTGGCAGAGGCACAGCCGTGGCTCAGGACAGCTCCTGTTCTGTGGAAGCAAACAGAGGCCGTGGCAACCGGAGCCCAGGCAGCAGCCAGAAACTCTGGAACTGCCTTTCCTCCTGTTTAACCTCTTAAAATTGAGTGTTGTACTCCCTTTTCCAAAAAGTTTGACAGTGATTGAAAGCCCAGCAGGGCGAGGGCTGCCACGATATTCACAGACAGAGCTGTGAAGTGCAGCACTCCACGCTGGATCAGGAGTAAGAAAGGCAGCACCAAGAATCCACGGGGAACCCCTGACTCTCATTTTCTTCCTGTCCCCTGTCAGCACGGGGCATTTCACCCTCACTCTGTGCCAGGGGAGAGGAGGTTGCAAAGGTGGCAGGTGGTGGAGAGCAAGGCCCCTGATCCAGAAGGGCAGGGGCGCTCAGATGATGGCAGTTAATGAAAATAAAGCAAAAACTAAATTAAAACATTGGAAAAAAACCTCAGTAATGGTAAGATTAACTGCAGTATAACCTCCTACAGGAAGCAGCAAAAGGCAGAGCATTTAAATCTTTCAAAACAGGATTAAACATAGTTTTGGGTAACATATTGCAGCCCTGGAATAACTGGCTGGAAGCTGGTGCAGCTGCTGGAGGCTCAGCCATTGCCCTGGGGCTCCTGGGATGTGGCAGGGTTCTAAGGAGGGTATTGAGTTAATGCAGCAGCCACCACTCACACACAGCAGGAGGGCTGCCAAAGCAGGGTGCAGCTCCTATGTGTCGTCAGCATTAATTATCTATACACGTGTGTGTGTCTGTAATTAGCTATATGTGTGTGTATATGCGCAGATAAATATTACATCGGGAGAGGCGATGGCAGATGTTAAAAAAGACATCATCCCTTTGCTGAAGCAGCCTCAAACACTCCTTTGAGCCGTTCCCTCAGCTCTGAAGTTGGTAAAATCCCTGCCCAGAGCAGAGCCCTGCTGGGAGGTTTGTGCACCGGGGAGCAGCAGCCAGGCTGGGACAGGGCAGGGGGATGCTCCTCTCTGCCCTGCAGGGATCCCCTGGAAAAGGGGCTCCAGGAGGGCACAGAGGCAGGAGAGAGCTGCTCTTGCCAGGGGACCAGCTGTGTTTCAGGCATGAATTCCCTTTGAGGAGGGAAGTGCCAGAGGAGGTGCCAGCACTGAGCAGGGCTCAGCCCGGGACCAGGCACCTGGAGTGCCACACAGTGTTCTCAGTTTTTGGTTAGCTCTTAGCTCATGGGCAGACTCTTCCCAAGCGAAGTGGAGAGCTGTGAGTAGAAAATGCTGTCTGAAGCACAGGGCAGCAAAGGTTTCCAAACTGCAGTCCTGCTCCCCTTCTCAGGCAGATGCTGCGCTGGGCCTGGAGAACTGAAACTGCTGACCTTGTCTATCCCCAAATCAAAGCAGCCCAGGAGCCAGGGAGGGACCAGGGAGCCCTAAGGCTGGGAGAAAGCCAAACACCTCTCTGGCCATGCCAGGCATTTGGCTCTGGGGTTAGTTATCATCAAGTATAAATCCAGACATTATTTGGCTACTATTTACAACGGGTTACACGTCCAGTGCTAGCAAAGGAATTTCTCTACAGGAACCAAGAGTAAAAAGCATGGGCATACATTACCAGGAACCTCTGCAGACTCAGCAGCGCTTGGTGCAGTTCAGTTCAGTGCTTTCCTTCTTTGCCATTGTGTGCACAGTATTAAAAAAGAATCCTACCTTTTTTTTTCCTTTTTAAAAATACAGAACTGTAGTCTAGTCACACTCTTACAAGTAAGTGATAACAAAAATAGAAAGCAGATACCCAGGTGGGACTAAAACTCTACTAAAGCCTGTCTTCTTTTTTTTGTTGTTGTTGTTTTTGTTTTTCTCCACAAATATGTTTCCACAGACAATAATTAGCAGACAAACACACTGTTTGCAATTGCACTGTATTGACTGGAAAGGCGGGTACAAAATAGTCTAAATCGGGGTGGCATCCAGGGAGGGAGGAGTGTGTGTGGGTGTGCGTGCAGGGGGCTGGCACAGCTGGGCTCCTGCTGCTGCAGGGCCGTGCCCTCTGTGGCTCTGCACTCACACTCACACACACAGCCCTGCGGGGCTGCTCTCACGGGTGGCTTCTTTAGTCTAAATCTTTTCCTATAAAAGAAAAAAAAAAAAAAAAAAAAAAAAAAAAGTGAAATTTTGGTCGGTTTGAAGGTTCTGCTCCATGAAGAGGGGGAAAAAAAAAATTCACAAAATCTATTGTTTTTCACCTTTTCAGTCATTTCCTCGTGAATAAATATTATCCATTAAAAACCTCTAAAAAGGTGCTGCGATACACAGTGTTATATTCCGCCGCCTCTCTCCGCCGCGCCGCCTCCTCGCTCCAGCTGTGCGGGCGCTCGGGGGCACAGCTGGATCCGCCTGCAGCGCTTCTGCCCGTGCCGTGCCGGCCGTGCCGTGCCGTGCCAGCCGTGCCGTGCCAGCCCTGCCCGTGCCGTGCCAGCCGTGCCCGTGCCCGCTGCGGGACGGGACGCGCAGCCCCAGCCCGGCCCGGCCCGGCCCCGCTCGGCTCGGCCCGGCTCACCAGGCGGAGACCCTGATCCTCGCTCCAGCTGTGCGGGCGCTCGGGGGCACAGCTGGATCCGCCTGCAGCGCTTCTGCCCGTGCCGTGCCGGCCGTGCCGTGCCGTGCCAGCCCTGCCCGTGCCGTGCCGTGCGGTGCCAGCCGTGCCGTGCCGTGCCAGCCCTGCCCGTGCCGTGCCAGCCGTGCCGTGCCCGCTGCGGGACGGGACGCGCAGCCCCAGCCCGGCCCGGCCCGGCTCGGCTCGGCTCGGCCCGGCTCACAAGGCGGAGACCTTGACGATGTTGGGAACGTTCGTGGCGGGGCCGGGGCTGCCCGGGCCGGGCCGGCTCTCGGCCTCGGGGGTCAGCGCCGGCGGCGTGGGGATGCTGATGATGGCCGTGGTGATCTGCGCCGCCTTGCAGTTCGGCCGCAGCCCGTCGTCCGCCTTCATGTTGAGGCTGGAGCGACTGCAAAACAGGTTTGGTGCTGGGCTGGTTTCTCGGGATGAGGCGGTGGAGGGGATGGGGATGGCTGGGGCTCCTAATCAGGGCTCTATTCAGCTGCAATATTCCAAACTCCGTTTGAACGCCCCCCCGTTTGTGTCTGCACAGACGACACCGAGCTCTGGTAATGCTCCCCTGGTTGGGAGACAGCTTTCCACGGGGCAAATTGCTCTGTTTCCATTCCCTTCTTGCATAATTCTGGTTTATTTAAAAGGACGTCTAAATACACTGGGCTGTGTGGTGCATCCTTTCAGAGCACAGGTAGTTCTTTCTGAGAAAGATGTTGTCTTTCTTGCATTTCAAATACCTCTTTCATATTCACCGTCCCTTGATCTTTTCTATTTTATTTCTCTCTGCAGTAGTTCCCAGGATGTGACAGCTGGGAGCATTCTTATTAGATCTGCATCAATTGCACGCTATAATTAATTACAGGGGGAAAATGATAGGTTGATTTCTGTGCATCTGCACAGCTACAGGAGTCTGCTATTAGCAGCCCAACGTGTTCATTTTCCACACAAGGCTGTCCTTTCAGCACGTAAAGCTCCCAGGGAAGCTGCTGCTGCTGTTTCCTCCCCCGGGGGTGGTTCCTGATCCCCCAAACCTCCAGGAGCTGATCCCACCCCGATGCCTCGGGTGGGGCAGCCCCAGGGCCTGGGTGCTCCTGCCAGGGTCACCAGTACACCCAGCTGGCTGCATTCCACACAAAAAAGAACTGAAAAGCTTTTTTTCCCTCTCTCTCCATCCTTGCCCAGTTTGGTAAGCAAGTGAAATAAGTGTTGACATTTAAAATATCACCGGCCCCTGATTTAGCACCCAGAACAGCTGACATTCCCCTGAATTACTGCTTCAGGTGCTGGTTTGAAATGTTGTCATATTGAAACTGAAATAGCTGGAGACTTGTTTTGTGCTTATTCATTCATAATTCACGCTCTGAAATGCCCTTCTGGCACCAAGTAATCACTTGCTGCCCTGAAGGCAGCTTTGTTTCAGTTTCTACATCCCTTTGATAGGAGTGGGGAGAAGAGGAATGGGACATTCAAAACCAGCCCTGGTGCACAAAAACTTAATGGGCTGAGGGGGATTTAGAAAGTAATTTAATATTTGCAGGAATTATATGGTGAATAAATGATTCCTTTTCAGCAATTTATGTATAAAATGAAATTTTAAACATTTTCTATTAAGGGACACTTCACCTGTGTCCTTTATGGCTTGTTAGGTCACAGCTACTAAGACACCACGGTGAAATTCCTCTTATTTGCTTCCCAGTGATGCTCAGAGTGGCAATTTAGGCTTTTGGAGGATGAAAACCAGTGGCGTGTCCCAGGGGAGCCCCTCAGCCCTCCCAGGGCTTTGGCTGGCAGACACTGCTGGCTCCTTGGTTTGCCAGCGTGCCCATTGCACCTTTTCCTGATCCCCAGCTGCCCTGGCTCTGCCTTTGACCTGCTCCTTGCCAGGGCAGCCCGGAGCTCGGGTCATTGCTGGGGGGAGACGAAGGTGCTGCCACCACCCCTGCCCTGGCTGGAGAATGGCCCTGCCAGCCCTGCAGCTGGGCACAGCCCTGCCAGCCCCACACAGGGCACAGCTGGGCACAGCTGGAGAACAGCCCTGCCAACCCCACAGCTTGGCACAGCTGGGCACAACTCTGCCACCCTGCCAGCCCCACACTGGGCACAGCAGGAGAACAGCCCTGCCACCCTGCCAGCCTGCCAGCCCTACAGCTGGGCACAGCCCTGCCACCCTGCCAGCCTCACACTAAGCACAGCTCTGGCAGCCCCAGACAGGGCACAGCTGGGCACAGCCCTGCCACCCTGCCACCTTGGCAGCCCTGCCAGCCCCACACTGAGCACAGTCCTGCCAGCCCCAGACAGGGCACAGCTGGGCACAGCCCTGCCACCCTGCCAGCCCCACACTGAGCACAGCCCTGCCCCCTGGCAGCCCCGTGGGCCCCGTACCTGGTGGTGAGGGAGGGCTGCTCGCTGCACTGGATGTGGATGGTGCTGAGCTCCTGCATGCTGCGCAGGCGCGTGGCGGGCACGCTGCAGTTGGGCAGGTGCGCGCTCTTCCTGGGGCGCCGCGAGCAGCACGACGAGCCCAGCCCGGCCTGGCTGGACAGCGAGGGGCTCCGCGACGAGGGGTAGTTCTGCACGGAGCTCTCCATGCAGTTCTGCTCGAACAGCTGCTCGTCGATGAACTCGTGGTTCTGGCAGGGAGAAGCAGAGCTGTCACTGGCACTGGCGCTGGCACTGGCATTGTCACCGGCACTGCGGGGACACGGCCAGCCTGGGGGTGGCAGCCCCTGCTCTCTGCCCCACAAAGGGCTGCCCGGGCACTCCTGAGGGACAGGGCTGTGCCCTCTGCAGCCAGGGAATGAGGGGAGCTGCTGCAGCGAGGGAAGGGGAGGCCGTGGCTGCTGCTGCTCGCACAGCCTGACACGGCCGCTCTGAGCTTGAATTTCTGTTCATCCCTTGGCTGCATTCCAGAACGGCCTCAAAACGTCTGGAGTGCCACACGGTTACGAAACCCAAAAGGAGCTCATGCTCCTTTTCTGTATGCCTGGGGGCAGGATTGTATTTTATTTGGGTGACCACCTGGCCATGGAACAATGCTTGCATTGGTTCTTGGGTTCAAAGCGTCCCTGCAGTGCATGAGCTGGGGGAATAAACAGCAGTGAAGACGGGCAAGTGTGCAGGGGGAAGGAAATTCAGAAAGCTGAATCTGTAAAGAGCTTTTGTGGTAAGGAACAAGAAATCCTGAAAGAAAGAACTCTCATGTGTGGCTAAGAACACCCAGGTGGAGGGAACAGAGCTCATCCAGTCCCTGTCGGTGTCAGAGGAGATGGGAAACAAAAGCAACCATGCTGAAGGCAGCCACCAGACCCCACTGGAACAAGAAACAACTCCCACAGGGAACAAGAGCACCGGAAAGCCAAAGGGAGCCACGTGCACAAACTGCCCAGGACAGGACCAGGAGGAGGAGAAAGCAAACACTGCCCAGAGGAGTCACAGGGAGCACAGAGAAAACAGCGAATTGAAAAGGAAATACCTTGATGGTGGAAGTTCGTACAGATAACAGGGGATCATCCACAAGATAGGACAATCCCTACGGGACAACATGCCAACAGAAGATAGAAACACAATTCATTGTCCATTCCAGCATCCACAGTTTAGTCCCAGCACTGCATCTCTCGCCTCAGCATTCCAGTTCGAATGGGCAACAGATCCTTCTCTCAGCCCCCTCAACCAGAACCCTTCTGCCAATTCAGCTTCTGAGCGCTCTGGTCATGGAAACAGAGCAAATCCAGAACAGCTTTACTGCTTTGATCCCTCGAGAGCCAAAGGCAAACAAGGTTTCGAGGATCCACAGACTGGGATTGTTTTGCTGTTGTGGCACCAGTGGGCTGTGGGGTTTGGTCAAACTCTGTGACAACACAGGAGAAGGGTTTGGGTTGAAGGACTGGGCTCAAGGCACTCAGCACTTGGAGAAAACACAGCATGTGAATGTCCAGACTCAGCCTGGGAGTTGGAATGGGAGGGAAAAAAAATCCTTTTGTTTGAGCCAACTCCATCTGCTGTGGGAATGTGACAAAGTAATCTCTGTGGTGGCAGCTACAAGTGCTGCGGGGTCACTTTGTCATCTGACACAGCAGATCCGTGGCCATTCACAGCCACTCAGCTGGAAGTGTGTGCCAGTGACAGCCCAGAGACCAGGCCAGTGAATAATGCACTTTGGGAATCCTCTGCCTGCTTGCAGGAAGGGTGAATTGCCCATTGAAACAAGCTTGCAATACATTCCTCATTCCATTCCTGCAACTTGCTCACAAAATGACTCTTCAGTGTTTAAAGATGCTTTTACTGCAATTTGAATTTTCTGTGGCACAGTGTTTTAATAGATTTGATGAAGTGCAGGATCTCCACACAAACCCATTGAACCTTCTGGCCTGATCATTCCAGAGCAGAATCCAAACCTGATTTGATGCTACACCGTGGCAATAACTGGCTGAAAAACATGAGGGAAAACCCCTTTGTGCAGATTCTCCCTCTGAGTTTTAATCAAAATTCAAGTATCTCTGTTATTGAGGAACATAATATAAGAGGAATATAAGTTCCTCATATAAGAGGAACATTTGGAACATTTTCAGCCCTGCCACTCATTGTCTGAGCAGGTTTGTGAGTTTGGCCAGCCTTTGTCAGTGTGCTGGGCTGACACAGCCAGGGTACCACGCTCACTAATTAGGGCACCTCACCACTAATTAGGGCACGCCGTGGCCCGTGCAGCCCCAGAGGTGCCCAGCTGGCCCTGCAGGGCCAGAATTCCCAGAGCCTTTCCAGAAGGGCAGGCCCTGCAGGCAGGGCTGGGAAATGTGGCTCACAGCTCCGAGGGCCGAGGCAGAAAGGCTCAAACTGAAGAGTCAGGTTGTGAAATATCTGCGGCAATGTAACACTGAAATAAAGGATGAGTTGTGTAGGACAATCCAGTGGCCATTGGTACAGGAAGAATCAGCTCCCTGCCCCTGGCACGGGGGCCCTGAGAGCTCCTTGGGCTCAGGAGCTGTCATTAATTACATTAATTACTCAGCTTCTTCCAGGGTAGCTCTGAGGCCTAAGTGGTGCTTTTCCAGCACAAGCCAAACTATGGAGGTGAAGGTGATTTGTCCAAAAGAAACCCTTGCAATTCAAATCAAAAGTACACTTGATGATGGATGCAGATAGAAAAAGGCATGAATATTTCAAGTGTTAACCTCTCTCCAGTCTCCCTAGAATGAATCATGGTACAGATAATGTGTTCCTTTACTGCAGAACCTTTTATACAAAACTGGAAGCAAAACATATGTATCAAATAAATATCTGAAATGTTCCCAAAGACTTCTGCACACACAATCAGTCACTGATGCAAAATAAAACTGTGGCTCCCAACACCTTGCAGGATGCACACAGAGCAGTCATGCTGTACAAACTGTTTTGAGATAAATCACCTGCCCTTGCAAGCAGAGATGGGAAAAGATGAGTGCCACCTTTAAACCCCTGGGCAGAGCTCACCCTCCCTGAGCCACCCCAGGGCTGAAGGTTCTCTCCCTGGCACTGGTGCCAGGCTGTGGCCGGGAGCCCCCAGCAGCATCTTCCCCCCCAAGGAGCAGAGCTGTCCCTTAGTGCTGCTCACCCTGTGATGGGAAGGGAAATGCACTTTGGGTCCTTCAGGAGCACTGAAAAAACGAAAACTTCTTATTGTGAGCTCTCCCTCAGCCCTGGCTGAAATCTGTGTGTGCTCACGGGGGCTGGGGGCAGCAGGAAATCCCATTTCTGTCCCTCTGCACGGGCATTGCTGCCATGATTTCACAGACAGTGATGCAGAACCCCCTGCAGGCTGTTCTGGGGAGCCCAGGAGGGGTGCCAGGGTGTGCCAGGGTCCCCCAGGGCGGGCACTCTCCTCTCCTCTCCTCTCCTCTCCTCTCCTCTCCTCTCCTCTCCTCGTACTCACAGTTGTTTTTTCCAGGCAGTGCAGCAGATGGTGGTGTTGGCTCTCGATTAAGGAGGTGCCTTTAGTCATGTGCTGCTCCTCCTCGGTGGATCCCTGAGAGCACAGAGAGAACAAACCCAGACAGGTGTCAGAGCAGGGCACCCAGGCCAGCAGAGCTGCCGCGGGGTAGGGACGGGGATTTCAGTGCTGCCAGCCCTGGGTTCTGCTCCTGGCTCTCAGGAGGTCTCCTCAGCTTTTTTCTTTGTGATTTCTTGCTCCAGCCGGGTGGGCTCAGATTTGATGCACAGCCTGCGTGCTGCTGGGCACTCCACAGCAGGAGGGACAGCTGATTCACCAGGGCAGGCAGCAAAAAGAACCTGAACCCTCCCAAAGTGCAGAGGCTGCCAAGCTTGGAATGGCAGCAGACAGCCCTGGCCTGGAGGCTGAGCCAGGGGCAGAGCAGGGCTGTGCTGCTGGCTCTGGCACGGCTCTGGCACGGCTCTGGCACGCTCACAGGGGTGGCACAGCCAATATTCAGGGTTCCAGGATATTTCCTGCTGCTGCTGGAGTTCTGACTGCAGCACTCCTGGCCTGTGCTGTGCCTCTGAGGGTGAGCTCTGTCTATAGCCAGGGTTCAGGACATTCTGCTGTGCTGCTGGAGTTCTGACTGCAGCACTCCTGGCCTGTGCTGTGCCTCTGAGGGTGAGCTCTGTCACCCACAGTGGGTTCAAGCACAGCCAGGTGCTGTGAGACGCCTCCAGGGCCTGAGAGGCAAGGGGGCCTGTAATGAAAATCTGAAAAAATGGATGTGCATGGCCTGGATTGCTGCTCAGGAGGGGAATGGGGCAGGACATGGTGCCAGGACAGTGCTCGTTGCTCTGGGGGGATCCAGCTCAGCCGTGGGGCAGAACCACATTGAACACCCCCTGTGCCACTGCTGCCCTGCTCGGGTGCCCCAGGCTGGGATCAGCTCTGGGTCTGGCCCCAGAGCTGAAGGGGGCACTGAGGGACTCCCTGAGCACAGAATGAACGGATTCCTGTGGGAATGCATCTCAGGCAGGGCACGGATGTTTTGTTGCTGCTGTTTTGGAAGATGAACGTTCCCAGACGTATTTATAGAAGTGGCCTAAAAAAAAATAAAAAATCAGTTCCATTCTTCTTATGAAGAGCCCTCCTGATGAGGTAACACAGGCAGCAGGCCCTGCTGGCTCCTGCTGGGATGACTGGCTCCCCTGGAGGCTGGAATGTTTCCCATGCAGGCCCCTGGGAGCCCCAAAGCAGAGATGATGCTGCACAAAACACTGGGAGAAGAGAGGGGAAGAGCACATATTGCAGGCAGCACCTTTTGATGAAGATTTGCCTGAGAGGAAATCAAAAAATGGGGTCTGAGAGCCAGGACAGAGCTTCCCCAGGAGAGCCAGGGCACCTGAGAAGGGTTGGCAGCACAGCCCAGCCTGTCCCCATCCCTGCCAGGGCCAGGGCGGGGGGTGGCAGTGGCCAGCAGGGAGATGAAGGCTCAGGCACTGGCACCCCTCCTCATCCTCCTTCAGCAGCAGCCCCCGAGCCACCCAGGTGGGCAGTGGGCACTATGGCCAGGGCCAGCCCCCCAGGATTGGCATTTTGGGATCAGGGGAAGGGGTCCTGCAGACCCTGCAGCAGGGGCTCCTGAACTGCTGCAGCAAACAGAATCTGGGTGCTCAGCAGAAGGCTGGGCTGCAGTGAGGAGCTGCTGGGGGAACAGAGCTGTGCTCTTGCAGCAGGGGTGCCAGCTTGGCAAGGCTTGGTGCCAGTCCCCATTCAGTTTGCTCCTGGAAGACGTTCAGGGAGCTGCTGGTTGCTGGGGGAGGCTGCAGCACGCTCTGGTGTCACTTCTGAAATCCAAAATTCTTCCACTTCACCTCGATTTTAGTGCTCCATCACTGGGCCCTGGTGAACTGGTTCAGGGCTGGTCTGGCCCTGCCCAGGGCTGATCTGGGGCTTGTGAAAAGGCACCAGAGCTCCCAGCCTTCTGTTCCTGGGATATTCACCTCCTGGCACTGCAGCTAAAAGGGAATTTCAGCTGTACAAGGAGATTAGTGCTAAGAGGATATGTAGGCTGCTGCCATGGGAAGGATCTCACCATCCCTTGAGCACTTTTGACATAAAGCCCACTAAAAAAAAAACCCTAAATGAGAAGAAAACAGTCTGAGTGCTTCGTGTCGAGATGGCAAATGCCACAAATCCACACGTTGGTGCAGCACGAGCCTGCACTGTCGCTGGAGGCTGATCTCCTTCCTGCTGCTGTCCTGGCATCAGTCCTTCCCTTCCTTCCCTCTGCTGGAGACCCCTGGAGCCCCCAGCCCCCTCAGAGAACTCGTTCTGCTCTCTGTGGCCCTCCCTGGGCACAAAAGCAGGGATGTGTCCCAGGGAGAGTGGAACTGAGGATGAGGACCTGAGTGAGGCTGCACAAATGAGTTCTGGGTGGCTCTGGGGCTCAGTCATTCTTCACCGCTCTCTCTCTGCTCCCCACGTGCATGAAAGGCTGATTTATTTGAAATGAAATCCATGAAATGTGCTAATACCTGCTCTGGTGTTGATCAGGCTTAATGTAATAACCTCCTCTCGTGTCTGCTGCTTCTGCTGAGCAATCTGAGCACTTAAAACTTTCCTCCTCCTGAGCAGCCAGAGGCCTCTGGAGGCCTTTAAAAATAAACCCAGCACCAGGCAGCCTGACAGAGGAGCTGGGGAACATCTCCCTGTCCTGCTGGAGACGGCCAGATAGTACATACTATTCCTAAGGAATAAATGGAGGGCAGTGGATATTTATACATATATTTTATATTTATAGTGTGGGCTGTGTAAACCAGCCCGGCTCCAGCAGCTCCATCCCAGGCAGGAGCAGAGGGAGCTGAGATCCTCTCCTGGCTGCAGGGCCAGCTCCTGTCCCAGCCCAGGGAGCAGCTCAGGAAACCCTCCCTGTCCCACCCTGGGGGCTGCAGGGCTCCTGTCCCACCCTGGGGCTGCAGGGCTCCTGTCCCAGCCCAGGGAGCAGCTCAGGAAACCCTCCCTGCCCTGCAGCAGCTGGGGTCCAGCTGTGCCTGTGCCTCATGTGGGAACCCACGTGGGACCCTGAGTGTGACCCCACGTGTGACCACAGGTGTGACCACAGGTGTGACTCCACATGGGACCCTGAGTGCCAGCTGGGGACAAGGGGGAGCTGGCAGCCAGGGAGGGGCTGGCAGGGGCAGGGGCAGGAACAGGGACAGGATCAGGATCAGGATCAGGATCAGGATCAGGGCCAGGGCCAGGGCCAGGGCCAGGGCCAGGGCACTCACCGGGAGCTCCAGGGCCTCGTTGAGCAGCCCGTTGCGCTTGCTGTGCAGGTAGGCGTTGGAGCTGCCCGTCTTGGCCACGCGGATCCGCGCCAGGCGCGCCTTCTGCGGAGACAGCGGGGACAGGACACGGGTTAGGGACACGGGACAGGACACGGGACAGGACACGGGACAGGACACGGGTCAGGACACGGGTCAGGACACGGGTTAGGGACATGGGTTAGGGACAGCGGGGACAGGACACGGGACAGGACACGGGTTAGGGACACGGGACAGGACACGGGACAGGACACGGGACAGGACACGGGACAGGACACGGGACAGGACATGGGACAGGACACGGGTTAGTGACACGGGACAGGACACGGGTCAGGGACACGGGACAGGACACGGGACAGGACACGGGTTAGGGACACGGGACAGGGACACGGGACAGGGACACGGGACAGGACACGGGACAGGGACACGGGACAGGGACACGGGACAGGGACACGGGACAGGACACGGGACAGGACATGGGACAGGGACACGGGTTAGTGACAAAGGGACAGGGACACGGGTTAGTGACACAGGGTCAGGGACACAGGGTCAGTGTGGGGACAGCGGGGTCAGGGATGGGAAACAATGGGATTAAGGATGGAAACAATGGAGTTAAGAATGGAAACAATGGGATTAAGAATGGGAAACAATAGGGTTAAGGATGGGAACAATGGGGTCAGGGATGGAAACAATGGAGTTAAGGATGGGAACAATGGAATTAAGAATGGAAACAATGGGGTTAAGGATGGAAACAATGGGGTTCAGGATGGGGGAACCAGAACGGGGTGCTGCAGGCCCCTTCGTGCTTCCCAAAGTTCTTTTTTGGCTGGATGCAGAGACTGGAGACTCGTCCTGGCCGTGCTGGGTCGCAGGGCCATGGGTGCTCTGCAGGTGAGGTACCTCCATCCCTCACCGTCCCCCCACACCCTGGGCCCTTCAAACCCCTCTCTGTCCCCGCTCTGTCCTTGTCCCTGCCCTGCTCGGGCTGCAGCAGCACAGGGACAGGGGCCCTCGGTGGCCCTGCAGTGGCACTGCTGCCTCATCAGCTGTGGCACCTGAAAAAATAACTGTCCAAAAATACACCTCTCCAGGGGGACAAGGCAGGTGATAAAAGCAGCCCAGAATAACCAACAAGAACAACTAAGACCCTGCCTCTTCCTTTTTGATAATCCCTTTTAGCATTTTTGTTTTTCTTTTCAACGGCTGCCTGCTTCTCTGTCGAGTGATTTGCCTTTTTCCTTTTCTACTGTTAATTTATGACTCAAATGCCATTAAAAGTAAATACATTAAATAGCTGCAGCTATTAAAAAATAATTACATTGTGCTGTAGTTTAAAATGCTGCATAATCCCTTAAATAACATGGAGCTCGTGATTTTCCCTTCTAATTAGAGGTGCTAATGGGTAAACGCTGTAGGAAGAGGAAAGGCAGGAGGCAGATATCTGCAGTGGGTCCAGAGAGTGGAGCCATTGCAGGAGCTCCATCCCTGGCCAGGTGTGAGCCACTCTGGCCCTCAGGGCTGGAAATATTTGAGGTGTTTGTCTAACCTCGAGACCTTGTGCCCATGCAGACAATTTCTCAGGCAAAGACACGCACAGGGTAAAGCTTGCAGCTTTAATTGGGTGACACAGACTATGACCAGTCTGAAAAATAGGTCTTCTTCTGCCCCCCCAGAACGGGGACGTCTGAAATTGGCTTTATTTTCCATACCTCACCTAGATCTCCTTGTCCCATTTTAATGCTGAGCCTCCTGATCAGTGTGAGAGGAGATCCCTGTGCTGGGGCAGGGCACGGGCTGAGAGCACAGCGAGACGTGAAACTGGATCTCCACTTTTCCTGAGCCCTTCCCCAAGCTGCTGTGATGCTCCAGGCCCTGGAAAGGACTGGCCTTAGGCTGTAAGCTGGAGCAAAACCCATGGGGACTGCTGCTGTGGGATGGGGCTGTGGGAGGGAGCTGGGACAACACCGAGCAATATTTCCTTTTGCAGGAGCACGGCATTGTCCCTCTGCTCCTGATAATTACCTTTCCATTCAAGGCTTTATTCTGAACACGAGTACGTGCCTTTGTGTGTCTGTTCTTTACATTTCACAGGGATCTCTCCCCTCTGATCAGGAGGGGATTCGGGGTGCACTGGTGGTTTTTCCAGGGATGCTCTGATGGTCACCACCACTCTGTGCCTGATAAAATGTCAGCTCCTTTGCTGGAGGAGCTACCAGTGCCCAGCTTACCTCACCTGTAGCAGGGCAGGTTCATCCTCATCTCCAGTGCAGTCAGTTGTTAAAGTGGATTCAGTCTCAGGCTGTTGTAATGAACATTATTCCCTTTGCCTCCAGGCTAGCAGGGGATCAAATATTAATAGCTGTACTCCATGTGGAGTGGAGACGGTTCTGAGGTCTGCTCCCTTTTCCTTTTGAAACAGGGCCACTTGCTATCTAAATAATTAAGCCCCACAGCTTTTGTCGTTTAGAACAGACGTTGTTATTTTAAAAAATGTCAGTGGGGCAGGACAGAAGTTAATCCTGCTCTCTGACACAAAGGATTGGCTGGGACCGTCACAGCGCCCAACTCCGGGTCCCCATCGTGATTAAATTTGGTAGATATCTTGATTAACTCAGCTAGAGAAGTTAATTAAAATTGGTGCCTAAAATTGGTTTGGCCCTCCAGACAGTTTCCTCCATTGGACTAGAAGCAAGTTTAAAACAAAGCTCAGGTTTTTCTGTGAGTGCCTGTGTGCAAACGTGAATTCTCTGGAAGCGTCTCTGCCAGGTGGCACAAGCTCTGCCTGGTCCTTGGGTACCTGTGCTGTGTCTCTGGTGCTTTGATCAAGCCTGACAGTAAAGAAGGGTTTAAGATCTTCCAAATTCTGCCAGTTTTTAGCACACGTGGGCAGGTTTTTGTCGTCCCTGTCCTGCAGAGCTCAGCGCTCCTGGCCTGGGCACAGGGGATGGGCAGGTGGGGCCTGTGGTTCTGTGGCCTCTGCTGCAAACATCATCTGGGGGGGATGGCTGTCTTCTGCATCTTCTCCCCCAAAAGTGACAGACTAAAGGTCACCAGGGCCAGGCCTGAGATCACTGTTACTGAAATAACCCCTGCACAGGAGGCTAAAAAAGGAAAAGCAAACGGCACACTGTGTCTGCATGGAGATGGGGAGAGGAGTTGCTAGGAAACCACAGGATCTCAAAATGCATATGACCTAATCTGGAAGATAATTTATATGATGAAAATAATAATACTAATGACAGCCACTTACAGGTTAGAATGATTAATTTGGTTATCTTGGAGCCCACGTGTTCCTCAGAGCAGGGTGGAAGGCAGGGCTCAGGAACTTCTGGGTTTGCTGGTTTTTCAGAAACTGGAGGCTCAGAATGAGCAGGAGGGCAGCGAGGACCTGCACAGGTGGGGAGGGTGCAGCATCCTGGGGGTCTGCACTTCCCAGAGGGACTGGCAGAGGAGCGAGGAGAGCCTGAGTTCATCCTGTTGCTTTTTGGAGAAGTGCAGGGAGCAGGAGCTGCTGGCTGGGAGAAATGCTTACCAGATGGCGGGCTCAGGAAACAGCTAATTATTATTTATTAATGCTTTTCATCCAGTTCTTATGGAGATAACACTCACTCTTGATTTATGGGGGATAGAAAACTATTAAGCTACAACCTATGACACGATTCCATATTTGCCAGACAGCTTCAGCTTTGCAGAGCTGGTGTCCCTGGGCAAGCAGGGAGCGCAGCACCTGCGTGTCAGGAACCCTGCAGCCCCTCTGGAGCTGCTCCAGCATTATCCCTCTCAGGGAATCTGCACTCAGCTCACAGCTCACCTGGCCTGGCTGTGCACAGCCACCTCCACCCCGTGTCCAGGGGGTTTTTACCTTACCCTTACCCTTTTTACCTTACCCAGCTCCCTCTGAGCTGTCCCTGTGAGGCCACAGTCCCTTCTCACGTCAGCTGTGCTCTGTCCCTGTCCATGTCCATTTCCCTTTACTCCCAAAACCACACCACGAGGTTTCCTGGCAGAAAGCGCAGCTACTCGAGATAATTAACCATGTTTTACATGCTAATTCCTCAATAGTTAATAGTTTGAGTGTTGTTTAAGGCTGAAATGAAGCTGCTCTCCAGTCACCAGTGGAGTGGTTTGGATCTGGTTTTTATTCTCAAGGTGAAATATGAAATATTATATATATATATGATTTTCCTGCCTTTGTCTGCATCTGTTGCTTGTTTGGGGTTTGGATTTAAATCCTACATGGAAAGGACCTGGTTGATTCTGGAAGATGGGAAAGGTGACAAGCAGACTGCAGAGTTAAACAGAGCACAGCACTGCTACAGGATCTAAGAGGAACTTTTTCTTCTCCTTTTCACCTCTTTTATTTTCTCTAAGAAACAAAGTATGCACTTTTGGATTTTACTTCCTCTCAAATCTTGACATTAAATGGCTTTAGAGCCAAGTTCAAATATTCTGTCACTTTTGCTTTGGGGGAGATGTTATAGAGCTGCATATGGAAATCAGGCAGTGTAGAACTCATTATATTCCTATATAATTTGATAGAACCACTTGCAGTCAGACCTTGATCTTATTTTGGGCCTCTTCATTACTTTCCAGAGATGAAAGATTCCCCTCTCCTCCTCTGTGCCTCTCCTTTTAATGCTACCTTACCCTTGGCACCATTAAAGCAACAGAACATCATTTCCAATGAACTTTATCGTTTAATCTTTTCCAACGCTGAGGAACATCATGTTCAGGCTATTTATAGAACAATGCACAGAATCTGGAGTTTAATGGGTCTGGGCCTGCACCAGCCACAGATATCCTGGCTGATTACACAGGGACCTTTCAAGGGTCACACTGCAAAACTGGCAGGGTGGTCAGGCAGCCTGGAGCACCGGGCCTGCTCCCCTCCTCTGGGAAACTCCTTTTTGTTCATTCTCTCCTCGAGCTTAACAAGCTCTGCCTCAGGTTTAGTGAAGCTCTCACTCCTACGGGATATTTGTTTCAGAAATTCGTCCTCCTGTTTAGAAAGTTCCTTCTGATTTCCAGCCTGTGTTGTGTGTGTGTCCATCCACCCAGCCAGGCTC